CGGTGCTAGGGATTCGTTCCTTACTCCGTTATGCGGTGCTAGGGATTAGAACCGCCAAGCTACCAACCTTTCTGATCAAGTCTTAGCCACTGAGACTTATCCCTTCAGTCTAAATGCATATCTTTTATACCAGGGTTTGGTTGGTGGACCTTCAGGTTTTAAATAAATAAATAAAACATACCAGACAAAGCTGAAGCCCACCCATCCTTGTTCTGCACTACCAACAAGTCATCTAGTCCTAGACCTAGACCAGAGGTGGCTAACCTTTATTGGCTCCCGTGCTGAAAATTGTGTGTGTGCTTGTGCTTGTGCGCTTGCGTGCCAGTACCCCGAAGGCAATGTGTGCTGGCCCCCCCACATCCCCTGCGCATGTGTGTGCGATCCCTCCCATGTGCACTGCGCATCTCTGCATGTGCACGCATTTCCCATCCACCCCGCCCCCCAGGCATGCGCGCCAGATACTCGACAATTAGCTGTTGGGCGGTGGCGTGCGCACGCATGCGCAGTGAGGCTCTTCTGGACGACCTCTCGTGTGCCGGCGGAAGTGCCTCTGCGTGCCACTTCTGGCACGCATGCCATAGGTTCACCAACACGGACCTAGACTGTAGGCAGAACATTAGCTATTAGGAGCCAAGAATTGCACTGGATATCTATTCTGCATCTGGGTCACTAGGTGGCAGAATTTCTCCGCCTATAGTTCATAATTAAGCTAGCAAGCATTTCCCTCAAGCCTTTTAAAAACATCAAATCACCTGCAAGCTGTGCTGGACACCTACTGACTTACATGGACATTTCCATTCAGTTTTCTTGGCAAGACATGGAAACACTTTCCATTACCTTGTGTCAAAGTCTACTCAGGAAATATTAAAGATGTAAAAACAATGTCAACTTCTCCCACTATTGTTTAAAAGTTAGCAAGGAACTCACACATAGGTCATCATACTTGACAACACTAAAATATTTGCATGTGTATTTTGCTCAATAAAGGTAGTATATAGCAAGAAAATGTGTAACCAATGGCAACTTCCCTGTATGTTTGTCAACTGTGACAATTTACATTCAAATTGCACGCAATTCAATATCAAGAAATACTTGCTGTAGAGAACTGTGCCTATGACTGAAAGAGATTTAAGAAGTAATTGAATTGCCTTCAAAACAAAAACATCTCACAGACGTGATTAGTAACAAAACAGTTCGGAGGCTAAGGAAGGTTTAATTTTTTAAAATAAAAGGACTATTTCCTGATTCTGATCTTTGATTAATTTTAAAATGTCAAGCCCTTTCCAAGACTTCTCTCGGAGCAAAGCACATTCTTGCTGAAGTATAAAAAGTATGAAGAAAATAAGACTAGATAGAAAGCTATATGGTATGAATTGTAAGGAAATGTAGGTATGCTGTCTGAAAAACAACTTTTTTTTGTAATTTAAGACAGTTCTTAATTCTGGGCATCTTGCATCCCAAGATTTTAAGGAGTATAAGAGAAAGGGAAACTAACTTACATAATGGCCAGATAGCCTTTAAAGAATTGCCATAAGCGAACAGTCTGCTGTCCATGAATTGAATTTTCTAGCACCAGTTTTTGGAGATCTTTCCAAGCCTCTACTATTTCAAGAGTCCGTTTGGAGTCATCAGATACTTGAACCAGGTGAGTAACTGCTCTTTCCAGTTCCTCTATATTTCCCTCCAGCTGAGACATATCACTCTATGGGATACAGAAAACAGGATTCACAGTGGTGAAGACACTTTCCTGGTTCCTTCCGGATAGCAAATCCTTGTAGCTATCCCAGAAAGGATAGGTTTTTTTGCTATTGATTTTTTTTTTTTGGGGGGAGGGGAGCTTTAAAAAAGCACAGGTGGTCAGAACCAATAAACATCACACTTCTTTTAAAAGTACTGCTCAAAATTATAGTCAAACTTAAACCTGTGAGGTAATCTTCTGTGATTTGCAATGGTAACTAGGCAGAATAGATTTTTTTAAAAAAACTCCATATAATGTCTTCTTTAAGATCTATAGCTCCCACATCTGCTATGAGATAATGAAACATATTTGGGGGAGTGGCTAATGAGCCCAGCAACTTTGTGGACATTGGGCTAATTGTTGCTGCATTTACATCTGTGTAAACATGAGAAGCACTTCACACCACTTAACCCTTGGAATATGTTCAACTATTTCCAACTATTAACCCCCAAATCTGCAACCTACAAAGTCCAGGAATGCATTTAAGCATCCAGTAAGTATCATTTGGGACTTTCTGACTACAGCAAAATATATGGATTCTTATATACCAGAGCCAATCTAATTCTAAATCCCAGGATAATCCTCACCCACATACATTTGAGATTAGCCCAAGGCCAAACTCGTAAAAACCCCTAGAATGAGCTAAACAAGAAAAGTTAGCTCTCATTGCAGACAAGATTAACAGGAGATGGAATGGTTCCTGACAGAAAAGTTATTAAACAATTTCCTTACCTCATGCCTGGATTTTTACAAGGGATCCAGATGATATTGCCCTCCATTTGTAACTTTTTGTAACCAATTCCTCCATTTATATTTACAAATGGAAACATAAAGGAGGAAAGCACAGAATAGTTGTACAGTGCATTTTAATTAAATTAATTTCAATTTTAAAAACCAGTGCTATCTGAAAACTTTCTGAAGTGGGGAAAACCAATACAGTTTCAACATTTTTCAAGATAGAAAAGTCAGAACCAAAGCTTTGGATCTCACCTCTATCTCTTCTTGCCTTTTCTGTATGCCCTGCACATCAAGCAGATCCATCTCGCTTTTTACTGTGATAAAACTCCTCTCTGCTTGGATGAGGTCCTGAGCCAGTGTTTCTGATCTCTCCCGGATTGTTTCAATCTGTGAGGTAACCCAGCTCAGCTGAGAAGAGAAAGAACAAACATGAAGCTTAGCAATGGCACTCGGTGCCCTACATTTCTTGATAGGATGTTATATAGAGCTGTGGTGGTACAGTGGTTAGAATGCAATATTACAGGCTAACTCTGTCAACTGCCAGGTGTTCGATCCTGGTTGGCTCAAGGTTGACTCAGCCTTCCATCCTTCTGAGGTTGATAAAACGAGGACCCTGATTGTTGGGGGCAATATGCTGACTCTATAAACTGCTTAGAAAGGGATGTAAAGCACTATGAAGCGGTACATAAGTCTAAGTGCTATTGCTGTTGCTATCTATCTAATACACAAACTGTGAAATTGCACTTGTCTAGATGCAGAACTCTTTGGTTTAGCCCAGACTGAATTCTTGGTTTCTGAGTTTGGCTCATATTTCCATTATTTAAGGACATTTTCTGTCCAAGCTGATTTTACATTGTTTTTCCCCCCTAAAATGGCTGTATGTTGGTCTTAATTTGCACCCTACTGCAGATTTGTTTATATGAAAACTAGGATATTCATACCAGCTGTTTTTCTTTAGGCAAAATATTGTCTGATGCATTTTTGACATGTGCCACCTTCCCTTAGGATTCTTAGATTTGCAGACCCATTTCTGGGATTTGTTGAAGGATTTCATAGTATCCACTGTAGTGCTAGTTTGGACTATTTATACATTTGATCCAATATATTTGAAGATTTACTTCCAAGAAATTCCCATGATTTCTATATGGAAGGGATGAGAATGTGTGGAAAGCCATGTAGGAATACAGTGATGAGACAGAATGTGGTGTAATATAAAAAACATCTGGGAGTAAATGAGCAACTCATTTACTTTGGGTAACTCATCACAGGTGAAGGACATGATTTACATGCAAAAGGGTCTGAGGTTCAATCCCCAGGATCTCTTAAAACTCTGAAAAATTCTCCTTTCCAAAGCACTGTTGACAGTCAGAGTAGACCATATAGAATTAAATGGATCATAACAGTATGACTTGATATAAATTAGCTTCCTCTAAACACCTTTCAAGATTTTAGTCTGCATAAAGAATTGCACTGGATTAAAGCAAGCCAACAATATGACAACCTGCAAAAGATCCTGCATTGTTGGTATAGGTGCATCTTTAATAGACAGATAGTTAGGAAAAGCTACCAATCGGTATGCCTCAGATTCTTCTTCCAATACCAGAAACATGATCACAACAAGCAATGAGTTGGAGCAAGGTAAAAACTGTAGGCATTCTCTAACTATTAGATAAATATGCTAATATGTGGCACCTCTTACCCCAATTTCCTCCTTATCTTTCATGACCTGAGGAAAGCACTCCAGGCTCTTGGTTTGAGTCGCTGCCTTCAAGGCCTGCTCTCGTTCCTTCACTACATTGTTCAGCATTTCCACTGCTTCTTGTAATTCCTTTAGTGGTCTACTCATGTCCTTACTGTTCCCCTGTTGAGCACTTTGGGCTAAGACAAGCTGCAAAGATTCTGGGGAACTGAACTGGTTTGGTGCCCCCTGAAGCAAAATAAGTATACAAGTAATATTGGCATTAAAATACATAATAGATCATTCTATTAATTATCACAGCAATTTTGGAAAGAAATTATCATTATTTCAATTCTACAAAGGAGGAATTTAAAACAGAAAGGTAGTAAGACAATAACACCCCACTCAATAAGATTAATCACTTGTTATTTAAACTGCTCATCAAAGATGTTTGTGTGTTTTTCTGTTCTTGTTGCCTTAGTTAGATATATCTCCTTAACTGAGACCCAGGTTTGTGTAGTGGTCAGGGCATCAGACTAGAAATTGGAAGATCCAGCACAAAGCCAGCTGGGTGACCTTGGGCCAGTCACTCTCTCTTAGCTCTAGATAGGAGGCAATGGCAAACCATTTCTGAAAAACCTTGCCAAGAAAACTTCAGGGACTTGTCCAGGCAGTGTCCAAGAATCATACATGATTGAGTGGAAGAAAAAAAATCTCCTTAATTAGAATTAATAAACAAGTCACCTATCTATGTTTCTTGGTCTAAATAACATATATAGGTTGAGTCAGACTTCCATCCTGCCAAGCTGAGGTGGTATTCAGCAGGTTCTGACCAGTTCTGGAGAACTGGTAGCGGAAATTTTGAATAGTTCAGAGAAACGGTAAATACCACCTCTGATTGGCCCCGCTCCCATCTATTCTCTGCCTCCCGTGTCCCAGCTGATCGGCTGGGTCTTCTTTTGTTGCCCTGCACAGGAAAATGGAGCTGGAAAGCAAGTTAGTGAGGTGGGGAAGGAATGGGATTTTGTGGTAAACTTCCCACAGGAGTGGGGAGGGAATGGAGATTTTGCAGTTTTCTTCCCCTGCCATGCCCACCAAGCCATGCCCACCAAGCCCCTCCCACAGAACCAGCAGTAAACATTTTTGAATCCCGCCACTGTTTCCAAGGTCAGTAAAATGAGAACACAGATTGTTGGGGGCAATATGCTGACTCTGTAAACTGCTTAGAGGGGGCTGTAAAGCACTGTGAAGTGCTATATAAGTCTAAGTGCTATTGCTTTCTACTGCCTAGATGTCTTCAAATGGAGGAATATCTTGAGCCTCTAACTTGTGCTACAGTGATGTACAATGCTACAGCACCAGCTGTTCATTGAAATATCCATTGAAAAATTGTAAGCGTTAAACAAATGAACAAGAACCTTACTAGTAAGCTTAGAGGAATACAAGATTCAGTGGATATAGTCCAAACATCTTTTGATACAAGTGAAGATTAAATGCATATAGGAGGAAACATGATTTCCCAGTTAGTAAAACAATTTCTAAAGCTGCTATAACAACTTAGAAAAAGCTAATAAAATACTACAAACCAGGTTAAGTATCTGGAAGCACAGTAACGTAGAAAAAACACAAACAGTTTTAGCACTGTTAAATATAGGGGGGAAAGGATGTTAATAAAGGAGCCTTTATTGAGACTTCAATTGTGAAATGCCTGATTTACCAATGGGCTTTTCATTTAGAGATAGAGTCTGCTCACCTGATTCTGATTAAAATACTTGAACACAAAGAGCTCATACAGGTAGGCCTCGACTTACGACCACAACCGAGCCCAACATTTCTGTCGCTAAGCGAGACAGATGTTGAATGAATTTTGACCCATTTGATGACCTTTCTTGTCAGAGTTATTAAGTGGATCACTGCAGCTGTTAAGTTAACATGGCTGTTACATGAATCTAGCTTCCCCATTGTGTTTGCTTGTCAGAAGATCGCAAAAAGATCACAAAACCGCTGCATTCACTTCCTGGATTTGAACCCAATAAGGTGGATCTGACTAAATACATCTTAACAAGTCCCAAGAAATATGAACCATTTCCCAGGCATCCAAATTTTGATCATGTGACCATGGGGATGCTGCAACAGTTGTAAGTGTGAAAAATGGTCATAAATTAAGATTGAATCTGGGTCAGTCACCACGAGCAGAGATTTAATTTCTGAGCTTTCGGACTCATGCTGGAGCCCATCTTCAGGGAACTTCTATCTACTAGAATATCTCATAAATTACATTTTTCAGTGCTGTTATAATTTTGAACAGTAACTAAATGAACTGAATGAACTAAATGAACCAAACTTGATTGCAGGAAATACGACTTCAGCAATAGAGTGGTCAATGTCTGGAATACTCTACCCGACTCTATAGTCTCTTCCCCAAACCCCAAAAACTTTAACCTTAGACTGTCTACTATTGACCTCACCCCTTTCCTAAGAGGTCTGTAGGGGGCGTGCATAAGCGCACCATCGTGCCTACCGTCCCTGTCCTATTGTTTCTCTTATTCTTTTATTTTTCTTATATGTACCCATTTCATGTATTCACAACTATGTATACACTTATACTTATTATCTTGTAAACAATTGGCAAATCAAATAAATAAATAAAATAAATAAATAAAACTGTTAAAAGTTGAGGGCTATCTGTATAGGGTCCTGATAAGGTCAGAGAAAAATCTTCTATTTCATGGACTACAGTGAGGCTGTATGCGACCATCCTTATTGGGACTTGTTAAGATATATTTAGTCAGATGCACCTTATTAGGTTCAAATCCAGGAAGTGCACTCATACAACATTCCATTTTATATGACTGTGCTGTCATTAGCAAGATATCTAGAAATAGATCTGGCTACATATGCCTGATAAATCACAATATGGATGAAACAGGTAACACATTATCCCCAGCTAATCAATGCATATTTATTTATTTAGCCAATGAATCAATCTATATAGCAACTAGTCTTGAAAATAACAGAAATAATAACTGAAATATACACTGTGTAAAAAATAGAGATGTTTTCATGTTACATTTTCATGTAAAATCTTATATACAGGGACAGGATAATATAATATCCATATTTCTTTACACCAGTCTTTCTCAGCTTTAAGATGGGTGGACTTCAACTCCCAAAATTCTCCAGCCAGCCTTACTGCTGTACTCAAAAAGCTTAAGGCAAGAAAATAAAGTATTTCCCGATAATCCAAATGAATTTGCCAGCAAACTGTGGTCAGAGAAATAAAAAATTCAATATTATACTAATGTGCATATCCAGTGATATGTATGATTTGCATTTGTTATCCAAATATCATGAAAAAAGTTCAAAGTCACAGAATAAGTTTTATACACCCTAAATCCTGCTCCATTAAAACTCAAGAAAAAAATGCTCTAGATTTCAGTTTATATCATACAGTTTACTTTATAGTCATGGATGGTAAATTTTGCTTCCTGGGTTTTTACCTTTATAGGTAAACTGGTATATTTAACATGTTTGCCAAGCATGGATTTCCCATTCTAATGTATTAAATGATGTGAAGAGTTAGCATTCGATAACATTCCAACTGTTTTATTCTGTATGAGCATGTTACATGAACGTTATGGGGAAATCCAGATTTGAAAATAGCAAAATAATCCTTTCATAAGAAGTTGGACACGGTTTGGAGATTATATCTTCAACCATGTAATTGGAGTAATAACTAATTGTTGCTCAATGAGCTTTCCCTTTCCATGAAAAGCAGAATCATTTAACTGAATGTATATTCAGTTAAAACTTTGTTTGAAGTCTACACAGGGGCTGGTAAATTTAAGTGCTTGAGAATCTCCTTAGAACCGGAAGATTTTTCATGCAATTTTCAAAAATTACACGCCTGGGATTGGTTCTTATGGTGTGGTCTTTCATAATGATTCTCTTTAGGACATTTGCTTCACATATTAATTTTGTTTTGGAAGACTTACTGTTTTTCTTGATGCTTATTTTCTTTTGAATTATATGCCAACATTTGGGAACTGAAGAAAATGGGTACTGAATGCTTCACAACAGAGTATCTGACAAGCATACAATGGTACCAATTCTCTATCAGTTATAAAACAATATGAAAAACTCATCTCATCTCTCTTTTTATATTCAGACAAACATTTTATCCATAATGTCTGTGGAGATTCTCAGTCATCCAAGTTATAGTTGAAGAAGCTTCTTGGATGAGAAGCAAAATGTCTTCCAAGAAAACTAAGAAAGTCCAGTTGTCTTTTGAAAAAAGTACTTTTGGGATTTTATCCATAATTGGCAGAATTAATTAGAGATGTGAGCTGCATGTACAGTATTAGTTGATATGTCTACTTCATATTTCTTTGCTATTGTAAATAAACCAATTTAAATGTCAATGGCATATAAAAATTAATAGTAACAAGACATCCATACACATAATAGTTTTGCAGTACATGAAATTTAGAAGCCTTTGAGTTTTCTTTCTTTTTTTATATAAAAATGATAAAAAACTAGACCCTGTTCTTCATCTATATTAAGCATTATCTTAAAATAAGGGCAACAGCTAATTTATAGAAGCAGTAACAAACAATCTTCTAAAAAAAATCTGTTTTTAACATTAAAAAGTAAAGATTGTTACCTATTGTTAATTAAACAAAATAAGAAAGCAGTAACAAAAGTAATTGATGAACATTTAAAATAAAAGTTTCTTCAATCAATGGCAAATGAGACACTGACTGATTTAAATTTGGAGATTACTGCAAAGTAACTGTACTGCTACAGAAAAAGTTTCCCTTGGGCTTATTTACCAGATATGCTCACAAAATATTAACTACAATGTTGCTAACATCAATCTATCAATCAGCCTATAAGGGAGATTGATATCTACCATATTTCTAAAGGCCAGTTCTTTCTCATGAACTTCTTTAAGAGATATTTCAGTGAACAGCCAGGCAGATTATTGTGGCAATTCACCTAAGTGTCAGTTGTTGCAGTTACTGGTAGTAGATTACAGCCAATGCTTTCACAGTTGGAGATGATCAGAACTAGAATGAGGTTAAAATTCAGCTATAAAAAGTCTTTACCAATTGTAATTTATATGCCATATTTCTCTTGAGATTCAATGAATCCTGAAAAAAGGAATAACTACTTTTGGTCACCAAATGATCTGTTTAGAGACAATATTCCATCACAAGAACTAACTTACATCCAAGCAAGGACTGAAATCCTGACCCTAACAGCAAAAGCCTTATTTTGGTGAATTAACTCTGAACTGAGATATCAGATGATAATCTGCTGTCCAAACTAAACAATAAAGAGAAGTCTTTCATAATCCATACTTCCCACTAACTGGAAGGGATTGAGATCATATTTCTGTCACAGAGAAGAGGGGACCTGATTTATTCTCCATAGCACCTCAGAGCAAGATAAGAAGTAACAGATAGAAGCTGATCAAAGAGAGGTTCAACCTAATTTCCTATCAGTGAGAACAATTAACCAGTGGAATGCCTTTAAAAGTTGTGCGTGCTCTATCACTTGAGGTTTTTAAGAAAAGATTTGACAGCCATTTGTCTGCTTATGGTATAGGTTCTCCTGCTTCAGCAGGGATTTGGACTAGAAAACCTCAAAAGTTTTTCCAACTCTCGTTATTCCACAATTCCATAATTCATTTCTCCTTTTTTTTTTTTGCTTCTCACCTTTATTTGGCTTTTTTGGTTTAGTGTCTGATCCATCTCGACATTCTGTAAGAACTCCATTAAAATCAGGGAATCGTGTAAATCAGATGCTTGGCGCTGGACAGCTTCCTGCACACAGGCCAGCCTGGTGAGAAAATGTAAACTATTTAAGCAATATATGGCACAGATAAAAATGCACTCTGCTTTATCAAGCAGAAACAACAGGTTAGCTCGGGAGATAAAACCTCTAGCAACAAGACCTTATTAAACCATCCTATTTCTTTACGTCAACTTTTCTTGCTTAGCTGTCTTTTAAATAAGGCCTCCCTGAAGAAATGTGGTCACTTTGTATTACCTTCTGGAAAGGCCAGCTGTTATACTACTTCCGCACAGAACAGTATTTTGATCCTTAGGAACTCACTTTTCCTTTACTCGTTTCATTTTTCTCTGAATCATTGCAGCTGCTGTGTGTTCCGAGGAGGCCACCATCTGCATTTCTTCCTGCAGAGTGTGAATCTTAGCAGCCCAGGCTCCAGCTTTGTTCTTCAAGGTGCCAACTTTTTGCAGATCTCTCTGGAGGTCATCAAGATTCTTTGTTGCTCTTGGCTCAGAGAGCAAGCCTGCCACAGTTTCTAGCCAACACTCAGCTGCTTCTAGCTCCCCAACCAGCTGCAAAGCCTGCAAAGAGAAAGGAATAACATACATGAGCGATATCTAGCCTATGATATGCCATATATCACCCGAGTAGTCTTCTTTGGAGGAGAAAAGAGTTCACACAAATCCCCGGGGTCAACTTTCTAACAGTAGGAAAAATTGTGTAGAAACCTTCCCCCAAAAGAAGCAAATCCAGATGCTTGCAAAAAAAAATTCAGAGCAAATTAACCGCTTGGAGAGAGAACAAAAATGGAAGTTACTTTGGGATTAGAACTTGCAATGAGTAAGGTACAAGTTTTAGAAGGGACTTATTTTCTCAATTCCTGTTTCCCATTCCATCAGAGCCCAACCGCTAGCATTTGTCCCAATTTAATATGTTATATTCCCCTGCTTCCATTTCCACATCCAGGATTGCAGAGGAAACATACACAATACTTGCTGAACTATTGCAAAGAAGAAAGGAAGAATACAATATTGCTTCCAGGGATGGCTACTACTCACTGTGTCAATTTCTTGCAGCGCCTTGCCATTTTCCTGATGTCTTTTTTTTAATTCAGCCCATAATTCTCCTAGCTCCTCAAGGGCATCTTCCATTTCTGGACTCCACCTGTGATCAGTACTTGGCAACTGCTGTATTTCCTAAGTGGTGCAAAATATATACATTCTTAATATGGACTAAAATAAAAATCTGCCATATGCTGTATGTCACATCACTTACTCGTTGATTTTATTCTCTAGAACAGGGGTGTCAAACTCAAGGCCCACAGGTTGGATCCAACCCATGGAGTGCTTAGATCTGGTGGCAGCCTCCCAAACTCCATTTTTGCTGGCAGACAGTTGTAGGAGGCTGGTGCAGCCGAAAATGGAGCTTGGGAGGGAGCCCATTTTTGCTGACACAGCACTCGGGCCACCAAAGGCACTCCCGACACACAGGACATCAAGCTGGCCATGCCTCCCTTGCCTCCCTCAGGTCAAACACAGCTCTGATGGGGCCTTCAATGAAATCAAGTTTGACACCCCTGCTAGAGAATATTACCAATGCTTTTGAAGGTCTCGAATAAAGAGCTTTCACTTCCTAATCCTTTAATTAGGAGATGCAATGGTTTTAACCTAAGATCTTCAGAATGCAATGCCTCTGCCTCTTTGACTTCCTCTTCAGGCAGAGTCTGAATAGAGTACATTATTATTCACAAAGATCTGCTTTTCTCTAGTATTAATTGGCTGAGTATCAACTCCTTTTTATGTTGTTTTCCCTTTTATGTAACCAAAAGAATTCTGGAAAGAAAAGGTGATAATGTGAGAAAGTTAGCTGCAGATGGGGAAAGGTCAAGTGTCTAAGTTTCCTCTGTATTTTATTTATTAGAATAGAATAAAATAAAATTCTATATTGGCCAAGTGTGATTAGACACACAAGGAATTGGTCTTGGTGCAAATGCTCTCAGTATACATAAAAAAAGATACATTCGACAAGAGTCAAGAATCATAATGTACAATACTTAATAATAGTCATAGGGTGCAACAAGCAATCAAATCATACTAGGATACAATCAATATAAGGATACAAGCAACAAAGTTACAGTGCAGACTTTGTAAATAGTTGGACAGTGTTGAGGGAATTATTTGTTTAGCAGAGTGATGGTGTTTGGGAAAAAACTGTCCTTGCATCTAGTTGTTCTGGTGTGCAGTGCTCTATAGTGTCGTTTGAGGGAAGGAGTTGAAACAGTTTATATCCAGGATGTGAGAGGTCTATAAATATTTTCACAGCCCTCTTTTTGACTCGTGCAGTATATAGGTCCTCAATGGAAGGCAGGTTGGTAATAATTGTTTTTTCTGCAGTCCTAATTACTCTCTGAAGTCTGTGTCTGTCTTGTTGGGTTGCAGAACCAAACCAGATAGTTATAGAGGTGCAGATGACAGATTCCTATTTGTTAACAATAGATTTGTTAAGACCACCCAACTCCAAGGTGCTAATAGTCTTTGAGCTTCTTACTTTATACGGTGGGAGTTAATCAGTGTTTAAAAACTACAGAGTTCTATGCAAACTGTTTAAGAGTACATTTTTCTGCAAAATGATATATAATAAACAACAATGATCACATCTAGTTTGATATTGACAAAGATTTTATTCATTGAACAAGCAAATGGTAAAGAGGCAGCAGAGTTCTGAAAAAGTTAGGACTGGTCTAACTAGCCTGAGAGCAAGATTATCCTTTAACATTAGCAAGTAATAGCATCTTTTCTATTTGTTTTATATATGTATGTATTTATTAATCAAATTTATACATCTACCCAACTTCTCTAGAGGAGACTCTAAGTAGCACACAACAATAAAGATCTTTTATTGAGAGCACAGCTTATTGGCTGTACTCAAGATTGAATGAGGAACCATCCATAAGTTTAGAAGGAACATTCTGCTGCTTCTGTTCTCACATTTTCTAGCATCCAACCCCTAAGGTAGATGACTTACTCTGCCTAATAGGACATCACATTACTGAAGCTCAAATTTTTAAAGTTTCCTTGCAGAAAAAATATCTTCCTGAAAATATCCCAACGGCATATTTTAGGATATATCCCTAAGGTATATCTCCAAAAAGCAACTGCTTTTCCCCCCTTAAAGATATTTCATTTCTCATCCAAGAAGCTTCTTCAGTTCTGACTTCTTCAATCAGAACTGAAGAAGCTTCTTGGATGAGAAGCTAAATGTCTTTGAAGAAAAACAAAGGAAGTCCAGTTGCCTTTTGAAAAAGCATTTTTGGGACAACCAGGACCTGATGACTGAGAATCTCTATGGACTTCCTGGAAATACAAAAAGTAGGGGAGCCAGGAGAAATTTAGAAAGAACATTCTCCCTTCTTTGTTTTATTTGAATAGCAGCAGCTTTGAGGAATTGATTTTCCCTGTTTATATTCCCGATTTCTTCCACCTCATCCCACTGCATGTGTAGACCAGATCTGCTACTCATGCCCGGGCCTGTTCTCCATCCAAATGGCAGCTAACCAGCAGCCTGAGGAACGCGAGCATTATTGCTACAGTAAAGGAATCCATGTGGGCTGCAACATGAAAAGGCCTTGAAACTTCTATAGAGACATTACCCGATCAGTATCCTGGCAGATGTCCTGAAGGTGTGCCTCTTGCTGAGGCAGATCCTTTAAAGACTTTGGCTGTCTGAGAAACTTCCTCCTCCTGCAGGAGAGGAGAAGTAGGCTGAGGTCATGCATTCCAATTCATCCGTTGATTACTGCCATATCAAGTGCACATGTGTGGAACAGCCATAATATATTAAACCCCCCCAGACAAAGAGTGTATACATTTTATTCGCGAGCACTTTGGACTGCAACACATTTCAATGGGGGACTATTAATATTTTAGGTGCCACATCCATATTTTGTGTACTAGCAAACACAGGGATAAGATTGCCATGTCACCAAATAGTATCATCCGTACTCAAAGGAAAGGATCCGTGAGTTAGGAGGACTCCAACATTACAAAACAGAAACTACAGTAACTCCCCCCAAACCTCAGAACATTCTCAGTGGACATACAATATTCAGCAACTTTGAGAGAACTTTAAAACAGAAAACCAGGGGGAATGGAATAGAGCTCCATGAAATTATACAGAAGTCTTCTGTACTGCTATTTACCCACCTCGTTTGATCTAAAATGCATGACAATACAGCTTTTCCATGAAGCTGACCGAATAAACCTGTAAATATTTCTCCGGTCCATTCTATATACAATGAACCATTCTTCAGTCGGATTAATGGAAAACATCGATGAGGGAAGAGATGCTATATAGGAGATAACCAGACAAGAGGAACGGAAGCCCCCAGGGTGTTTAATACAGAGCAAGAAACTGAGGAAGTACCCTTCCTAATGGATCAAGCATTTAAAAGTGGCAAAGGGAAGTTTGTACTTTCAGACTATCAGGATAATTCAGCTTTCCCGGGTAAACCAGACAGGAAACATGACAAGATGAACCAAATTTCCTTTATTGTAAGGCTACATTAAACAAATCTTGCAACAGAAGTTTCTCATCACCACATTTCACCGCTTGATCCATTAGGGTGGGTCCTTCCTAAGTTTCTTTCTCTGATAGTTAAGTCACTGGGGGCTCTTCTCTGATTGTTTCCTATACAGCATCTCTTCCATCCACACATTCCATTACAGCAGGCTATGGGGAAAAAAAACTTCATTGCTAAATAATAAAGCAGATCAAAACAAGTTCCCTGCCTGGATATTCCCACAGCTCAATTTTTCACCATTTCCCATTTTCCAGAACACTTTCCCTAGAGCAGCACTGTGTATGCCAATACCTCCTGCTATCACCGTTGATGGCTTCTCTTCCTAAGAAATCTGAGTTGTTCTCTTGGCTTCTTACACCTTGTACTGTGATTTCTGGAGCATTCTTTTGCACCTAGGAAAATATGTCCAATGATTAGACAGTTACTAAATAGATTGTCATTGGCCCTAAGATAATGGAATCCTTTTCTGGCAACTGCCTTTAACCCAAGCCTGCTGCCATTTTACAGAAATTCATGCCGATTATTTTGTAGAATGGCTACTTTGTACTCACTCAAGAAGCAAGAATGGGAGAAGATAACTACGGTATGGAACATCTCCCATTTTTTATTCTCAAGTTTCCTTCTTTTCTTTATTATACAAAAATTTATTGTGCCAGAATTTAATTTAAGTAAAAATCCCAAACTTCCATACTTGTTATGTTGGACTAGTAAAGGACCATCACTTAATAACGGACCATAATCTTCTCTACTGTTTCACCCCAAAGCCATTCAAGGAGAAAAAGATACTTTCAACTATATTCTCAGAAAGAAATCCTCCTAACTCTGTCCCACAAATGTATGAACAGAAAGTTGCATCAGGAGGACCTTTTTAACTAGTAGTAGCTTAAACACAGGTTTAAGCCAACAAAGTGAAGATCAATGTATTCATCAGGGATTAATATAAAAGATTCAACTGTCATCACAGATTCATGGGTTTAGTAGCATATTAATTATGATTTCTGTGATGTAACTAGATGTGGGGCAAAGGAAATTTGATTAGATTTATTTTTTATATGGATGAAGAAATCGGAACGTAGCCCTAAATGCAACACTTACCTCCCATACTAGCTTTTCTTCTGGATCTTCTTCTGGACTCTTTGTAGTTATAGTCAGTACCTGATTAGGACTTGAATCTATACATTCCTTTGTTAAAGCCAATTGTGGAGGATTATCACTCCTAAGACATGGGAAAGTAGGAAAACGGAGAAAAGAAAAAGAAAAGAAAATGATTCCAATAAGAATGGGGAAAGGAGAGGCAGAAAGCCCACATGAAAATCACTACAAAATAAATCTAGCCCTGTCTCAGAGCAATCTTAGCTCTGCTCATTATAGATGCACTATTTAAATCATTTTATTCTTTTTTGAGGGGGGTAAAACTATAGGCTTCCACAGGTGGAAATTTAAAGATTAATAAAATGAGTTCCTGCCCTCAGACTTGCAAAAAATATATATATTTTGGAGGCTGAAAGTAAAACAAACAAATATTAGGACAAGTAAGGGTGGAGGTTCGTTCTCCGAACTTGTGGTTTGGTTTCTGAAAGTTTTGTTCCCAGACTAGGTAGTATGTTCAGCAGTGTAAGTAACATCCTACACCCGAGCTACAAATCGCATAAGGACTAGTTTTTAAGGAAGAAGAACTTTAAGAGACCTAAAAACATCTTCCCCAACCTGTTGTCCTCTAGATATATGAAACTATCCATCTAGAATAGTCATTGAAGTTGATGCTGGATTAAAGAGTATAGATCACATACCAAGCCTTCTCCTTTTACCCATAAACTCCTTGGGGCTCTTTTTATTCCAACCTTTCTCTGCACTTAGTCCAGGGTTGCTCAGCCACAGAAAGGTGTGTAGATTTCAACTGCTAGAATTCTCCAGTCAGCATGCTGGTTAGGGAATTCTGGGAGTTGAAGTCCACGCATCTTAAAATGGTTGAGGTTGAGAAACTGGTTTTCTTACTTAAATCTTTTACTTAAAAAGGTGGTGCTTTGTGCAAAGCCTGAACCAACTGGAATGATTGCTAAACTCTTAATTTTGCTTTGCTGTTGAAGCAGAGACCATTATAGTTCCTGAGACTTTCTGAACTTTTGTTGAATGCCTTCTTCAGTCAGTCACACCAAAGAAGACAGGATGTGCTGATGGCAACTCTAGTTTTTTTTTAAAAAATAACTCTTATCAATTCCAAAATTAGATGCTTCATAAACGAAGTACTTAACTAAAGCTATGAAAAGAGTTATAGATCAAATATTCGGCAAATACCTCAACAGTTGCTGTAACCGGGCCCAGCTCTCCTTGATATCTTGGTGTTTGAGCGACACTTGTGCTGCCAGACTGGGGTGAAGACTTATAAGCTGTGACATGGTCACATCTAGCATCTACAGGTATAGAAAAGGTACAACGTGAATAATTGGGAGTGGTAACTGGGCATCTGCCACTGGCTGAGCCCATACAACTTGACCCACCAAACCAAAGACATCAGACTGGGCATGTGCTTTGTGGCTAGGCAAGCGCTTGCCAAGCTCTGTTTTTCAGTTACAGGCTACAGAAAGCTCTACTTCAGGGGTGTCCAACCTTGGCAACTTTAAGACTTGTGGACTTCAA